AATGAAGTGGATTGGCTGTAGCATCATGATGAAATGGTTAACTGTAAGTGGTGGGTAGTTCTGAACTTAATATATCTTCAACAATTTGGAGTAAGATGACTAGACAGCATGCAGAGGTCTCATGAAAGAGCTGTGCTTCCAGAGGCACTGTGCATTGCAACAGTTTTCAGTTTATTTAATCTCAGTGTTTTTAAGGTCACTGTGTCGTCAGCAGATGCTCATAAATGCGTATTTGGAATCCGTGTGGGCTGGGAGGAGAAGGAAGGGAATGCTTTCCTTCATCAGGATTACTGGAAATGCAACTGGGTTTGTACAGGAAGAGAGTTGCATTTGGGAGGGTTTAATGTTTGAAAACAGGACAAATGAACTGTCTCGGTTTATAGCCCTTACCTGTTAGCTGCTCTTGGTGCTGTGGTGGGGTTCCTGGTAATCTCAGTTTTGCAGAAGCACAGCTCGGATGTTTACAGATCTGGGTGTCTGCTGTTGAAGTTTGCTTCCCGTGTGTTGAGCTGCCCTGTTTTTGCACAGTCCTGACAAAAGAGGGAGATCTGTGAATTGAGAAGTTGTTGAAGAGCTGCCTGCCAGGATGTCTTCGGTCATGAAACCACTGTCTTGATTAGCGCAAGCCCTCACACTTCAGTGCAGTGCTTTGTCTCTATTCCACAGAGCTTAATTAGGAGGAGGGGGGTGGGGAGGATGAGCTGTCTCTTCCTTAGCAGGTTTTACTGCCTTGAACCATCCCAGTTGGTGCCCTGCCAAAGGCCCTGCCAAAATCTGTTGGTGCTTAGAGAAGCAAGGAGGCCTTCTGAGCTGTCAGCATCGTCTGTTTTAGTTTATTGGTGACACCAAGATCTAAAGTTTCCTGAGGACTCTGTAGGCAGCATTAGTGCTAGTGCTGTGTGTGGCCAAAAAGGGTCAATGGAAGGGCTTGGGAGGAGGAACCGTGCTGTGCAAAGGACCTGCAGGCTGAGGACCTTGGGAGGGAGCAGGTGAAGGGGGGTAAGGGATGGGCAGATACTTTGAGCCCCATTCCTGGGGAGGAGGCCAGTAAGCAGCCGCCATGAGGGCATACAAGCAATTCCTGCTTTTGTAATCCTCCTGTTGTATGTGTCAGATGGGGAGAACAGTCTTGATGTTCACCCCCTTGTCCTTCTCAGTGTAATTCTGAACTTGGCATGTTGATGGCCCTCATGATCGAAAGGATGGCTGACATCAGACACAGATGCTGTGCCAGGATGTCCTGACTGGTCCAGAGGATGCGATCCTCCATATCTTAGCACAGGCAAACAGGCTCACTCCATCCTTGTGAGGTGCAGTGGGTTCTGTAGTTCAGGGTCTCTGGTGAGAAGACAATGGTTAAACTGGGCTCGTCACTGTCTGGGTAGTCCCTCAGGATTCAGGGGTGGGGGTAGTGTCTCTCACAGAGCAGGGGCCAAACGGTCGTCTTGTGTGGGAAGAAGGTAGCAGCAACACCTATGATTCTGAAGGGGGTGGTATGGTAGAGAAAATTATGAGTATTTCATGTCCACACATCTACCTCAGTGGATGCCCTGCCAAGGTCTGTATAAGAATCAAGTTGTAGCCGCTTGGGATTTACAGTCACAACCATCCTGGCTCAGGTGCCAGGTAGAGATGGGAGCTTGGAATAGGGAGATAAGTCAGGCAGCACTGTGGTATCTCTGGGGCTCCATGTGAGTGGGACAGAGTGGAGCTGCTGTGGGAAAGGGGATAGTGATAGATCATAGAGGTGGTGGCATGGGCCATCTGCATGGGATGGATGAAAGTACACCTGGTGCTTCCAAGTAGGACCTCTAGCTGAGAACGGGTGCATGGGCCTCAAAGCTGTTCTAAGGAGCCTAAGTGTGGCTTGGCCTACAGGATGGGGAGAGCTAATCTGAGCCCCCATGTGTGAGGAAGCTGAGCCCCAACTGCTTCAACCTACTGACCTGCTCCTGTTGCAGCAGAGTAGGTGTTGATGGAGAGACAGCCCATTGCTCCCTGGAAATGTCTTCCTTTATGTGGTGTTTCCTGCCTGGGTTTGTGCACTGTCATGTATGCTCATGGCCTTTGCTTTTTGCCCTTTGGGAGTGCTCTCACAGAATGATACGGAGTTGAAAGGAACCTCTGGAGATCATCCAGTCCAACCCCCTGCCAAAGCAGGTCCACCTAGAGCAGGTTGCATAGGAAGGTGTCCAGGTGGGCTTTGAATGTCTCCAGAGATGGAGACTCCATCACCTCTCTGGGCAGCCTGTTCTAGGGCTCTGCCACCCTCAAAGTAAAGAAGTTCCTCCTCATGTTTAGATGGAACTTCTTACGTACAAGTTTGTGCCCATTACCTCTTGTCCTGTCGCTGGGCGCCACTGAAAAAAGACTGGCCCCATCTTCTTGACAACCTCCCTTTAAGTATTTATAGGTGTTGATCAGATTGCCCCTCAGCCTTCTCTTCTCCAGACTAAGACCCAAGTTCCTCAGCCTCTCCTCATAAGAGAGGTGTTTCAGGCCCCTAATCATCTTTGTAGCCCTCTGCTGTACCCTCTCCAGCAGCTCCCTGTCCTTCTTGAACTGGGGAGCCCAGAACTGGACACAGTACTCCCAGATGGGGCCTCACCAGGGCAGAGTAGAGGGGGAGGATAACATCTCTTGACCTGCTGGTCACACTCTTCCTGATGCACCCCAGGATACCATTGGCCTTCTTGGCCACAAGGGCACATTGCTGGCTCATTGCTGGCTTTCAGGAGCAGGCGAGGCTGTACAAGCCCTACAGCTGCCCAGAAACAGGCAAGTTTTGGGGATGGTGGTTGGTTAACACTCCTGCTTTCACAGCTCGAGGCCAAGCAATTGTCTGCTTGGAAGGCACTCCTTTCAAGGGCATGTTGTGAATGTGCTCCCATAGCTCTTTTGTAAAGACACGTATAAAAATAGCCCATGTTGGCGCTGTGTGCAAGGCCAAAGTGATGGTGCATGACAATGGGAGCAGATGACAATAGCATGACCCTCTGGAAACCAAAGGCTTTCGGTGATACAAGAGAAATCTTGTTTACAAAAAGCAAAGGGCTCACTGGCATGATGGGAAGTGAAGTAGAAATTTGGGAGGCAATGAGTTTTTGAGGTTAAAAATGGCCTTGATGTTACCGTAGGGGTTCTTAGACACTGGAGTCACAGAAATAATTAGCAGCACTTCTTCCACTGTGCTTTTCCGCAGGCACTACTTTAACAGATATTAATTAGCGTGGTCTTAACTACTGTGAAGTGTGTGTGACCCTTCAGCAAAGAGCGGTGTGGAATTGTCATCAGGTAGAACATTTCTGGGGCACGAGGGGAGAATCTTTAAGTGGGCAGAACATTGCTCTGGGGGGGTGGCTGGTCCTCTGGCTGCTGCCGGGTGCGGAGCCTGAGCTGTGCCTCTGCTCCCCCCCATGAATTCTGCACCCGTGGGAGGTGGGGGGTCCTCCCCATCCTTGTCCCCACGGTGCTGAGGGTTCGCTTTCCTCAGGAGCACCTTGGCTCTGGTAGAGCAGAGCTGGCAGCATTGTCTGGTGCCCTTGTTCTGAGTGTTCAGGTCACTGGCGAGGCTGGGCCTGAGGATGTCCAAAGAAGCACATAGCAGATGGGGTAGGTGCAGATGGTACTCTTGCATGGATGTAGGGGGAAAGTAAGAGGGAGGAGAAGAGGAAAGAGTGGGAAAACGTGACCTGTGGTCATTGTGTGCACCTTTTGGAAGATACCTTTCCTGTACTGGAAGGTGACCAAGAGCAGCACCACTGCACAGCCCTGCTCCTGCTGGGGTTCAGCTCAGCTGCCTGTGTGCTGGCATCCAGGGCCACCTGGGCTGCCCGTGGGCATCAGCCCCACAGCTCCCAAGTGGCTCCCAAGGTTCCTGGGTGCCACCGGACTGTGGGACCACAGGTCCATCCCTCTCCTTTTGAGTTACCGACCTGCTGGCATCTTCTGTGTAGTTCCCTGCTGGCTTGTGTTATCTCTGATAACAATAACAACGAAGTGGCCCCTGGATGGGGCTTACACAAAGCAGCACCACCCAAGCAAGGGCAATGGTTTTTGAGGGACTGAAGCAGCCACCCCAGGCAGCTGGCTGGGGGCTGGAGGCCCGTTTTAATGGCAGCTGGTGGTGGGAGCACCATTCTTCTCTGAAAGAAGATTCTTCTTTGCCACCAGGCCCAATACCTCGAGGCTGGACCTCGGGGTCCTTGAAGCGGACCATGGACTGCTTTGGTTTCAGGGCCGGCTGTTACTGGATCCACAAGCTGGGATTTCGACACCAGCCGTGGAGGGATGCGCCTGGGTGGGGGGATCATAGAATCATTGAGGTTGGAAAAGACCCTTGGGATCATAGAGTCCAACCATCTCCCCTACTCTACAAAGTTCTCCCCTACACCATATTCCCCAACACCACATCTAAATTGCTCTTAAACACAATAGAATCGTAGGGATTCTATTCATAGGGAAACGAAAGAGCTTGAGATACAAAGGTAAACCCTTTCCCGTCTTTCCTGACCCGAGTCCCCCTCCGCGGGGAGGGTGCGTTAAATCTCTCCCGGGGGGTGGGGCTGGTGCGGGGTGTGGAGAGCATCCCCACCCCCGCGCATGCCGAGGCTTGGGCTGCCCCCGGGACAGGGCTGCGGGTCCCACCTCCTGCCCGGGCTGTCCCCAACACCCCTCCGCCACCTGCGCCCACAGGGGGGGTCACCCCACACCTCGGGGGTGGGAGAAGGCGGGGAGGAGAACGGGGCCAACCAGGGTGAGCGGCAGAACCGGGGGGCGAGCGGGGCAGCCAAGGGGGCAAGTGGGGAGAGAGCTGCGGGGTGGGAGGCCGAGCCGAGCCGAGCCGAGCCGAGCCGAGCCGAGCCGAGCCGAGCCGAGCCGAGCCGAGCCGAGCCGAGCCGAGCCGAGCCGAGCCGAGCCGAGCCGAGCCGAGCCGAGCCGAGCCGAGCCGAGCCGAGCCGAGCCGAGCCGAGCCGAGCCGAGCCGAGCCGAGCCGAGCCGAGCCGAGCCGAGCCGAGCCGAGCCGAGCCGAGCCGAGCCGAGCCGAGCCGAGCCGAGCCGAGCCGAGCCGAGCCGTCCGGCCGCCGGGCCGCCCCTCCCATGCGCCTGCCGAGCATGTCCCAGCCCTTCCTGCTGGCGCCCATCGCCGAGTGCGCCCCGGGACCCCCCGGTGCCCAGGTCCGCCTGGCCGTGCTGGGCGCCCGCGGTGTCGGAAAGAGCGGTGAGTTGCGGGGCTGCCCGTCCTCCTCTTCCCCTGTCCCTCCCTCCGTCCCGCCTAACGCGGCCGCTCTCTGTGTTTCAGCCATGATCGTGCGGTTCCTGACGAAGCGGTTCATCGGGGACTACGAGCCCAACACAGGTGAGGCGGGGGGACGGACGGTGGAGGGGTGGTGGGGGACCCCTCCCCGGCGGCTTGTGGCTGACGGGTCTCTGCTCCGCAGGCAACCTCTACTCCAGGCTGGTCCATCTGGAGGGGGACCACGTCGCCGTGCAGATCCAGGACACGCCCGGGTGCATCCAGGTAAGGAGATGCTTCGGGTCCATCGGTTCCTCTCGGCCACCTGAAGGCTCAGCTTCGGAGCCCCAGCTTCCTACGGGGCCAGGCTTAGTCTCCTAAGACAGAGCTTAGGCTTCCTTTCAGACCTGTCAAACGGTTGATCTGTGCTATATACAATATAGGCTATATCCATGATAGAGGCTTTATCATATATCTAATGATATAGGCGTTATACTTTTGCGACCCGATGCCAAATTTTGTGCTCCCTGTGGTCCCGCAGGTGCAGGAAGACTGTGTGCAGGTGCTGGACTCGCTCTCCAGGTGCGTGAAGTGGGCAGAGGGCTTCCTCCTGGTCTACTCCATCACAGACTACAGCACCTACCAGTCCGTCCGACCTCTCTACCAGCACATCCGCAAGGTCCACCCGGATGCCAGGACTCCCGTCATCATCGTGGGGAACAAAGCAGACCTCCTCCACGCCCGGCAAGTACAGGCGAAAGAGGGACTACAGCTGGCAAATGAGCTGGGCAGCCTGTTCTTGGAGATCTCCACGAGCGATGACTCCCAGGGCGTCTGCGATGTCTTCCAGTATCTTTGCAAGGAGGTCAGCAAACTACAGCACGCCGGCAGCACGGACAGGAGGCGGTCATCCATCATCCCTCGGCCCAAATCTCCCAACATGCAAGATCTAAAGAGACGTTTCAAACAGGCTTTATCTTCCAAAGTCAAATAACTACCCCCCCCTCCTCCCCCCGATGAGATCCTGTATGACTCAATAGACTTTATTTTTGTAAACTAGTTAATAAAAATCTTTATTTTTGTACTAATGCCAGCAGTATGGAAGTAAGTATGTCAAAGCTTGCAGTTGCCTTGGCATTCTCTCTTGTTTGACTGGTTGGGTTATTTTTACAAAAAAAAAAAAAAAAAAAAAAAAAAAATTACAATTTGCAGGTCAACATTTTGGAAAACAAACATTATTTTCTATCTTTCTTGATATCCATGCCATAGTTTGGTCTGATTTTATTTATGTTAATGACATTAAGCATCAGAATTTAATATATGGCTACAATGGACAGTATAAGCATATTAACACAATTAGAAGTATGTGTATACTGCAAGTTAAAGGGGGCTTCCTACGCCTAGATTTCCTGAGTGGCTTAGCACCGAGGGTGGTCTACCATCTCCCTGCTCTTTGATAAAGGAACATATTTCTCATTTTTTTTTTTTATGGTTTGGTTTTTTTTAAAAAAAAAAAAAAAAAAAAAAAAAGCTGCATAGCAACTAAATAGAAGTAGTTGGAGAAGGATTTTTGCCAGGGGGTTTTGATTCCATTTCTGTTTTGGGCTGGGATTTGCTGTTTCACGCTGCTCAAATGGCTTTTTTGGGGCCTCAGTTTCCTGCTTGTAAAATGGGAGTGATGATGATGTAACACTCACCTGCCTTTATAAAATGCTTGGAAAGTCTTTGATGGAAAGCTTTCTACGGAGAGAGGGAAAAAAAAAAAAAAAAGCTTTATTAAACATGAAAATATAAAACTGTCTGTAAGAACTCTGATTATAATAGGATCACTTTCCTCCCTCAGAAGGGCTGTTTTGCTTGCACCTGTAATTGCCTGCATGGTGATAGGCTGTTAGGAGTGAGTTCCAATTTCTGATGTGCTTTAGACATCTAACCCCCAGAATTAATCTTTTGAGCCCCAAGCGTGTAACGGGAGGGTTGAGTTTCTCCTACGCGTTACCGTGGGACAAAGTGCTGAGCAATCCGCAGCAGAGGAGTGTGTGGGATGGCTGTTGCTTTCTCTGGAGACGTGTGATAGGAAGGACTGATGCGTAGGTTCCCTGAACAGAAAATAGCTATATTTGAAGGGAATCGCATCTTCATCTTCCCCAGGGCAATTTTGTAGCCATGGGAAACAGGTCAGACTTTTTACTTTTATTTCACATAAGCTCTAGAATGGTTTTTATTAACCGTTTGCTGGATGTCTGAGTGTGGAACGTGGGTTTTGCACTTCAAATATGCCTCTGGAGTATGTGCATGTTACTGGTAAAAATTAAAGCTCTACTCCGTGCTGAGTAGAAAGTGTGGAAGTGGAGTGATCTGTAAAGGGGGAAACTTGCTGTCTCCGCTCAAGCACAACTCCAGTAAGATTTATTATTATTTTTTTTTAATCTCATAGCTTAAGTCCAAAGACTGTTTCTTCTTTCCTTTTGTTAGGAAAGGCGTGTAGCTGCTGTGTAAGTCCCTGTGCTGCAGGGACACCGCTGTGCTTTGCAGTTAGCAGGCAGTCTCTGGTGTTTCTGACCCCTGGGACTGGAAGCTTTCCAGGATGCTTCCGTTCTCGATGTGGAGACGAAAGCCTTCCTGATGGTGGTAAGGGAAGGGTGACTGAACAAGTTAAGGGTGATGCTCCGCAAGGAAGCATCAGAGGCCTGTGTTAGCGCTGGGTAGGGGTGGGGGATGCCAGCAGCATTTTTCCCCATCCAGGACCATGTGCACAACATTGGTCCAGGCACATTAGCTGTGTATCTCCTCTCTGAAGGCCCTGTGCTGCCCTACCAAAGGGATCAGGAGAGCCAAAGAGAGGCAGCTCCAGACCCACAGGACCAGAGTGAAACTGGGTCCAAAGCTCCTGAGATAACTTATGGATGTGCAAAAGCATGGTGACAGCCTGGATAAATCAAAGTACTGTTTAAAACACGTTTTAAGTATTTGTTCGCTGTGAGACTTGCTCTGCCAGACCCAGGACTTCGGGCTGGGGGCTGGACGGGAGCAGGGGGATGGAGTTCATGAGAACAAGCACATCTCTGGCAGACTCCAACTCACCACGAGCCACACATTCACAGGGAAATTTGAAGGGGAATTGAAAAATCACAAGTGAGATATTTATGCAGCATTTCTCCACCCTGAAATCAGAGATAACAAATTGTTTCCAGGAGAAATCACTGCTGTGATACAGTTTTGAGAGTTTTTTTAACTGTAGCTGTTGTCTTTGGCAATGATGAAGCTTGATTTCCTACTCCCGTATCCAGCACAGAGTTTCACCAACCAAGTTGCTAAAGGTATCCAGGTCACACATGGGCACAAAAGATGCTAAAGGAGCAGGTAACGTGTACTGGACCTGTCTGCTTTTTTACCATGGTCCTCAAAGGCCTGGTGAAAACAAGCAATAGGCACTGACCTCTGGTGCCTCCTGCTGCTGTCCTGGCTGTGTGGTGGTACCGGGGGAGAGTTTGGGCAGCAGGGGACTCGGACACAATGGAAGGGATGGACAGGAGGGGAAATAGAAGGATTTTCTCCATATCTCTCCTATGGGGAGAACCTAAAGAGGTACACTTATTACATAGGTCCAGGTAGAAGTGCAAACCCCCCCATCTCCTCCCCATGCTGTTGGGTGGGCTTGGCCACATGCAGGGAGCCGGGTGAGGCCCCTCTGGGATGTGATGGGAAATCTCTCTGGCTAAAGCATGCTGTGATGGCAGGGAGGGCTGCTCTGACCTGCTCCCAGTCTAGGGCAGCAGCTGAGCTGGGGCATTTTGGATAATGCTTTTGGGTACAGGTACATAAATTAGACATTTAAGCTATTTGTCAGAATTTGCCCAGGCTGGCACGGATTTACCTTCACCCATAAGATTTCGGCCCGTGCAACCCTGAGCTGACGGGCAAAGCGCAGGAGGAGCCCGCTGGCTCCCAGCCCATTTTGCCCCAGCATTTTCTTCAGTCCTGGGGGGGTGGACAAAGAGGGACACACCAGGGCAGGGAGGAAAAAGCACCTCTCAAGTGCTAGCAGAGGAGCTCCAAAGCCTTGTTTCTCTTGGACCATGGCCACTCGCCCCCCCCGTTACTGAATACTTGCCAACACCAGTCTCTAAGCCCTTCACCCAGAGGGCAGGGTGGATTCAGGAGGGTAAATGGGGCATGGCCTGGCCTTTCTCCTTGATCAGAGGAAAATATGCATCTGCCTTCTTCCTCCCACCACCTCCGCTATGAAATAGAATCACAACAATTTCCCCTGACAAGATGGATGAGTGGGTTTTCAGAAGCAGGAACGTGTGCGGCATCACGCACTATTATGGCTGCTACTACATCAGCATCCCCCCCCCCGTTGGGCTATTTTGTCTAGTTATCTCCCAGCACTGAAATCATCCCATAATGCTTTAAGACTTCATGAATTTTAAAATAGCTCCTGCCATCAACCGGTTCCATGTGCTTCAGTTCAGGAGCTGCAGATCCCTAGACAGAGATAGGGATGTTTTCTTCAAAAGACTTTATGGATGTCCCCTTGCTTTCTGTCCTGTTCAAGCAGCCTGGACCCAAGCCGCTTTCTTGATACCTCCTGGCAGGGTTCTGGCCATCATCTCATGCAATGGTCAGTGGTGCAGGTCCATGCTGTATTTCTGTGGTTTGTTCATATGAAGGATCATGAACAAGGTGGACCATGAACAAGAAGCACTGCATTCACACTACGGGCAAGAGCTGGGTTCCAGCTTCAGACAGGGAGCACAAGTGGTTGAGGCTTGGATGGATGGACAACTAGAAACAAATCTGCCTCTCATGCTTGGACCCCCTACAAAACAATTTTAGTTCTAGGGGACTTCAGTAGCTTTTGGTGGAGTTGCTATTGATTTAGGAAGATCTGAATAGATTCAGAATAATGTTCTTTAGGGAAAGTTGAACTTCTGCTACAATTGCTGCACTTGGCATGTGGCCACGGGCAATTCATACCAGTAAGACAACAGGATCTCTTCAGTTGCTCCTAAACCCAGGATCCAAAGCCAGTTGTCCTTCTAGGAGCACTGTCTCCAGGGATGATGCATCACTGCGCTGAGGCACATGCGATCCTCCACAGAGCTGTCTTCCCAAGAGACCTTCAGAGTGACATCCCTGAAAAGCTTATTATCAGTCAGAGCATGGCTCAAGAAACAGCAGCTTGGCTTGGGGTTTGGGTAATTAGTGACAATACAGACTTCCAGAAAACCTATTGATTCTCAGACTTGCTCTTCCACGGCTCCCCTCTTTCCGTGTGTCTAAAAAGAAGGAGAAGGCAATGTCTTTTTACTGAAAATGCTTTTGAGACAACTGGTTTTCTTACTGCATTCATTGCTTGATGCTCTAGACTGAAAGAAGCATAAATACACATCATGACTTCCCACATTACTAAAAGAAAAATTAGGTTGTAGAAATTGAGCATCCATTTCACTGGTACTCGATTTACAGCTGAAAAGCTTTGTAGTAAAGTCTGTGCAATGATTATAGAGCTTCATAGATGTTACAGCTGCCGTTTTTAAAAACATACTTGGTTTTTTGCTATCCATGTTTTCCTTCCTTGACTGAAAATAATACTTCCATTGGAGAAATCCTCACGGAGGGGCCCTCATGGTGTGAGCTGCTGTGTATAGGTGGCTGCTCTGGCCCCATGCCTCGTCCTCTGGGCTTTGCTGGGCAGAGGCATCTGCTTGCGTTCCCTGGGCTTGCAGGGCCACAGTTCAGGGAACTGTATTTTGCTCTTGATCTGTGCACAATATTGCCATTAAAATGCCTCTGTCCAGGAAATTGCGCAAGGTTATTTAATAGTCAACCTGCATTACTGGGAAAGAGTAATTAATTCTTAAAGCTGAAATATCTATCTTCTAAGGTATTCGATGCTTTCCCCACTACTAAAAACATCCTCTTCTCAGGTTTCAAACAGTCCTTGTAAACATTTCACAGTAATTTTCCCCTTGGGATGCTAAGCCAATATCAGCAAATATTGTTTCTGGGCGCAGCTCTAAGAAGAGGAGACTGAACTCTCCCCCCGCTGGGGCAGGGAGGTAAATTACAAACTCTGGTCGTGCTGCTGATTCTTCCCTCCCCTCCTGCAAGCAAATCCCAGCGTAGGCACATCCATGCCCCTGTTGTCTGGGGCTCACAGCCCTGAACCTTTCCAGGAGCCTTTAAGAAC